CAACAAATTTATGAGTTAAAATACTGCTCCATTTTGGGTTTTCACGAATAATAATATTTTAACAAATTATATAACTTAATGATTTGATACTTTTTTGAAATTTATCTCTTCTCACATAAGAATTTTTATCAGTACATGGAAAAGATATGTTCTGTTACGAAATGTAATTTATAGATGTGGATATAATTATACTCTTATGAATGTAATACTTCATTTATTAATCATCATTATATTATTAATCTGTGGTACTAGTAGTTTACAATTTATATACACGTAAATTACATTGAAGGGGGAATTAAAAAGGTGCCTTAAGTTTGGTAACTACTAACAAATATGCAGGGATCTGATCTAATATTTGTGACACTGGTACCTATCTCCATTATTCATATCTGGTATTTAAGAACGTAAGTCACTCTGTTATAATCATATTATAATAATTTTTTGTTCTTTATTCAACATTTTTCTTATAATTAATGTATGTTTATTAAAGCTTTATAAGCTCATATAATTTTGAAACAGTGAACATCCCTCTTTGTATTTATCTTTTAAATTTTCTTATTGTGTGCAATAATAGCATATTCTTTTTAAAACTCCCTATAAAATAATTGTACCTTTAGTACTGTATTACTTCTGAACCTTCATACATTCAAATAAAGGTAGTCACCTATTATTTTAATAAACTAGTTTCAAGCATTATAAATAACTTTTGAAATATCACTTTGTTATTTTTTTGATTTTTTAATTTTACAGTGTGGGGCTATGTGTATTATCTTGTGTTAATTTTTCATATCAAATATGAATATTTGTTACTGTAATTTTGTTATTAAAATATTCAAGATATAATATGTTGTAAAAGTATTAATGTATTGGAAATTGTACAAATAGACATTTAAAAATGAGATTATCAAACAAGTATAAATAAATATAAATAAGTATAAACAAATACATTGTTTCTAAACTTAATGTGAACAATTTTGAATATACAAGTATTAAATAATGTGCAGTAAATATATTTTAAATTGTAAATATATACATCTGACTCCTATGAAATTAATAAGGTATAATGTTATATGATACTCTTATGTCTTGTTGATGATTTTTTATGAAAAAGTCATAGTATTTTTATTTATAGCTCAATTTTTATTTTGAATGCATGACTGTAATTTGAATGTAATTTTTTAATTTTGAATAAATTATTTTATTAAGTAAAAAAAATGTATTCATAAATAAATAAATGAAAATATTAATTGTTCCATAATATCAGTAATTCATTTGTAATGATATAAATTTTTAAATAAATGAAATCATTGTATATTGCAGATTTTTCATTCCAACAATGAAAATATCAATAATTGTATATCTTGTTATATTTGGGGTTTTGCCCCTTATATTTCACTACTCCTACACTATACAAAAGAAGATTCTGTTTCTGAATTTGTGTAAGCATAATGTTCATCAAAATAATTTTATTTGTTCATGTACAACAATTTTTACATGTTTAGTACAATGGCCACTTAATCTAGATTTTTCAAAGCCAGAGTCAGTTGGGATGAAAGGAACAAGAAATTTTTATTTAAAAACAGATCAGCAAGTAAAAATAGGATTATGGTTGGTAGTTACTTCTTAGTAATTAATAAATGCATGCATATAATTCAGTCAAAGTAAATAAAATTTGCTTTCAGGCAAATACTACCTCAGTCTTTATTAAATGACTCCACTATTACAACTGACAATGATTATGAAGCTGTGTTAAGAAATGCTAAACGACCTGTCTTTCTATATATGCATGGTAATAGTGGTAATAGAGCAAGTAGTCATCGGCTAGAACTATACAAACTTTTTCAGAATTTAGATTATCATGTTATATGTTTTGACTACAGAGGCAAGCATAAAATATTCTGGTTGTAGAAAATAAAGTATATAAAGAATTATTTGAACATTTATAACATTATCTTTATTATATAAACACAGGCTATGGTGATAGTGAAGAAGCAGAACTATCTGAGATGGGTGTAGTTATTGATAGTAAATATGTACTCGAATGGTTATTAGAAGTAGTAAATAATACAGCTCCTGTCTTTGTATGGGGACATTCTTTAGGGACTGGGTATGAATTTTACATTTGTTTTAAGTAGTATTAGTGTTATGATAAAATATAAGTTTATGTTTATGGAAGAATATACATAATAATTTTATAAATTACTATTTGATTGCAGAGTTTCTACTCATGTACTGGCATTACTGGCAGCAGAAAAAATTTATCCTGCAGGTTTGATTTTGGAATCACCATTCAATAATATTGCAGATGAATTAAGTGAACATCCTTTGGCACAGGTATTTTAGAATATATGAAAAATGTTTTATATTGACATCAAATGACTTTAAATATATTTGAAACTTGCTTAAAATGTTTGTTGTTTTCAGGTGTTTAAACATTTACCTTGGTTTCACTGGGTAATTGTTGAACCATTTTATAATAATTACCTGCGGTTTGAATCTGATAAACATATACAAAAAGTTCAATGTCCTGTAATGATACTGCATGCAGAAGATGATAATGTTGTTCCTTTTGCTTTAGGTGAAAAGGTATAAGTACATCTTCTTTTTCATATAGATTTACAGAAATTTAGATTATTCATACATGTGATATTTCTTTTAAGTTATTTGAAGCAGCAATAAATTATCATGGAAATGATACAAGTCGCGTTCAGTTAATAAGAATTGAAGCATCATTTGGTCTTGGACATAAATATATATGTCGTTATGAAAAATTACCTAATATAATTAAGTAAGTATGGATCATTATGCAATATGTTACAATATCGTCGTTCGTACTTTCATGATTTTTTCAGATCGTTTGTAGCTGAAGCACATCAAAACCAGACTGACTAAATTACGTATGAAATTATTTAGTGCCTTTACATAAGTATTCTTTGCAATAGATGTCAGTAGATAAATAATGTACATTAAAATGTGAAAAATTTTTGTGCTGTCATTTTTACAATCAACAATATTTTGTTGATACATTTAAAGTTATTGAACTGTACTAAAGTTATTCACTGTGTTTCTTATTTAAATTAAATGGCTATTATTATTTACGTTCTGCATAGTACAAGGTCTATCAACAAATAATTATTGAAAATTAATTCAATTTACCATATATTTTAAATACAGTTAACAGATTTGTTCAAGCTTGAATGTGATATCAAAGTTAATGCTGTGATAGCTATTTAAACGCCATCAACAGTATTTATTATTTTATATGTTTTTATTAGTTATACATTTACCAGTTAATGAGTAATCAATTTCATTCTTATTTTAAGTTTTATAACAAAACTCAAATCAGTATTTCTCTTAACAAATTTCATATATAATTATTCATAAAATATTTAGTCTGCTTCCATGTCAGTATATTCTATGTTCTATACACAAATAGAGTAATAAAGGAATATAATACAATATCCGTTGTTTTGTTAATACAATTTGTATGTTATATTTAGCGAGATTTTTATATATTATCTTCTCTATTTTACGAATTCAATACATTATTTTAATTAAGTAAATTTGTATAAACGTCTATTTTCATATATTTATATATATTCTTTTTGATTTTACTTGGTTTGTTCAAAATTAAATTTGATCCTAATTATGTTATATTTTTATTTTATTTCATTTTATTGTACAATTATTTTAAAAAGTTGTACTTAACAAGTTTTCATGATAATAATTTCTTTGTAGGATGTAGAGTGCGCTGCGATACACTTGTCTTCAAACATGTATTTGATGTACGTCAATGTAATTTTATATTCTATGACGTCTTTAAAGAAACACGTGCATAGTCTTATGAACGTGTTTGTAAACATCGTTTCAGTGGTTTCCCGAATATTAATGAATTGACGTGATAATTTATATTAAGAAACATGTTATTAAAAACCTAACCTAACCTTTTGTTTTCTACATATTTTATGATGTAAGGTAATTTCTTCAATTTTTTTCGTAGGTGAGTAAAATATGCATATGAAAAATAACCGTAATTTTGATTTTTCAAGATTATTAATTATAAAAACCTCGTATGAAAAATAATGGAAATGGAGGAACAGAGTATTTTGACAACAAAGTCATATAAACGTGCTGAAACAAATTTAAAAGATAAATTGAAATCAACATTTTTAAAGCAACATTCTCATTATTTGGTACCTGGATATAATTTGCATAGCAACTTTTCTGTGGATGACTCTGATTTAGAAAATGTTATCAATCAGTATCAGGAATATCCTTATCATTGTGATCTACCAAAACCTTTATTACCACCAGCGAAATTGCCTAGAAGTGGTAAGCATATTAAATTACCGAAGTAGTATTTTACAAATTAATTCATCTGTGTATGTTTGTATGTTATCCAGTATTGAATGAAGAAGACCCTGCATTAGAATTAGTTATTCTTAAAAATCAAATGAGGAATGATATCGAAAGATTGAAGCATTATTATTTGAAACATGAGAAAGGTATTGTAATAAATGCAATTCTTGTGAAAGCTAAACATTTATGAGAAGAATTTGATTAATGATATTTTTGTAGAATTAGGATTAGTACAGAAAAAGCATATAAAATGGAATGACACCAAAAGTGCAACAACTGCTAAAGTGCCTCAATATGTAGCAGATTTAGCCCAAATTATTGATAAAGATCCAGATCCATATTTTGAAGGGGTAGGATAAATTAAGATTTATATAAAATCTGTATAATGTTGAAACAGTATTAAGCAAAAATATTCCATAGTTTATCATAGAAATTCAGATAAATTAATATAACCATTTTAGGCTTATAATTGGTATTACACTGGTGGAACTGTAGATTATATACAATTACATAATGTAAATATTCTACTTTTTCCGTTTATGGGGGAATTAGGTATTATTATTATTGTAAAATATTTTGTCCACAGTTTGACTATATTTTAATTTTCCTTTCAATGCATTTATAGTAAGTGCACCTCTTGTTAATGGAGGAGAATGTTTATGGAAACTACTGTTACAAAAAGGAGCTAAGTGTGAGCTTAATAGTTCATTGTATGAATTAAAACATAATGTCAATGTTGATACCTGTGAGTATACATATTTGGTTTACTAATATAGTTCTTGAAGAAAAAAAAGTTATGGTGTGGACTATTTGTAATTTTAATCATTGTTTTAGGTATGATTTTGGGTAGACATAAGAAACATTGTAATTTTTATATATTATCTGAACATGACAATAAATGTCAACTTACTGAAATACATGAACAAAAGTCGAAAATTCCTTATATTAGTGCAGATTTAAGCCCAATTAATGTGAATCAGTATTGTACTGTAAATGTTGAAAGATATGTAACATTATGGGATATAAATAAAATGTAAATATGTAATTTATGTATGCACAATTTTGCATAAATAAAAAATTTATGTTCGTGTTTGATATTATAGGAAACGCATAAATGGTAAAACTGTATTGCAATCTACTGTGGTAGATGATTCATGGGGGAGTATAAAATTTGACTCAGTGGATCCTGATGTTCTTTTATTTGTAGATAGATGCTGTCTTCATTATCTTGATGTTAGAGTAAGAGTAAAGCATTACTATTAATTAATTTTACAATATTCTGGAAAGGATTTTTTAATTACAATTATTTATAGTGTAGAGATTATGTAGTTTAGTTTAATGATGAATGATTTTAATGTTCTAGGTTTCATTGGATCAACCTGTCATAACATTGTGCCCAAAATCATATTTAGAAAACTGTGAACAGCTTTGCTTAGATGTTGCCAGTAGAAATAATTTTTGTAAATATGTAGGAACTTCTCATAGCATTTTAATGTGTGATAATCGTTTTCCAAAGCAATGCGTTCAACAAAAATGGACCCATCAATTTAAAGGTTTACCACTTATGGGTCATGTAATGAACAGGTAAAATTTCTTGATGAGTTTGTTTATGAAAATATGTACATACATGTATACATTATATTATTATTTTTAGAGAAGACAAGGAATTCGTTGTTTTATCCAGCCAAATTGCTGGTGAAACTACAATTATTGTAAATACATGGACTAGCAGTGAAATGTCACACTCGTTTTATTTTCCATACACTCCTCCTCATATTAAAGAAACATTAAACGAATCTCAAACACTGGGAATGGCTTTGAATCCATATTTGAGAGATAGATTTGAATTGTCTAATACTGGTTCTTTTGTGATAAAAGATGACACTCAGAATATATTTTTATTTTTTCAAAATTCTATTGGTATGCATATCATTCTATTACTTTTTATATTGTATATGATTTACAAAAAGTCTAGTATAAATGTATTTTTTAGGTGACATATTTTATCAATGCATAACACATGATACTCCATTAGATAAGTATTCATCTGTTAATGGTAAATCGTGTTGTTTATTGAATGCTTGGGAAAATGCAATATGTGCACAAACAGATACTGTAGTACCTCTGACAATGTCTGATAAATCAGATATGCAACATGTTTTTGAAAGTAAGTAAATACATAATTTTTCACTCCGAAAATAATAAATAATCCATTATTGTTTACATGTTATATGTATATATGTTGTAGGTTTTACAAATAAAAAGTTACGACTAAAATATAACGAGCGTAATGCAGATGATTATTTTGAACCCAGTTGGAAGCAATCCCTTGAAAAATTAAATACTTATATGGATATATTAGCACCAGAACTTTTAGCTGTATGGGATATATGTGACGAAGTTCCTTTGCCTTTGACAGCAGCACCTCATCAAAAAGTTTTAAGTTGGTTAGAATCTGCAGATACAAAGGCTCCAATTTTGTCACAGGAAGATTTAGATAACGTATCTACGCCAATTAATACACAAGAACTAATAAGTGTATCTCAAGAAATAGATATAACTTACTTGGATGATAGTAATGCACTACAAGATCTTTTACCAAAAGTTAAAATTACGCATCGTAGAAAAAAGGAAAATGCACGAAAGAAGCAAAAAATATAATTTTAACAAAATTTAAATTACTTTTTGATACAATTTAATAAAATAATAAGTTAAAGTATTGTAATGTACGAATTACTTGTTTATTTATTTATAGCAAAAATTATATAATAATTACACCATATGTATCGACAAAGTGAACGAACATGTTAATGATAATTTACAAGTTCTTGTATTTTACAACATTGCATTTCCTAACGATAATGATTGAAGGATAATTTCCATTTTGAGGTAAGTACTTTACTACTTTCTTGTTGTGCTTTACTTTCCTCTTCTTCAATCTGCATCTGAAATAATTTCGTTAGTCAAGAATATTAAGTTTAACATGCAGATGTAAATTAATGTAATAATTACCAATAATTTTCGTTGATTTTCTCTAAAAACTTGTAATGGATTATCAAATTGTCTATAATAATCAAGAACTTCTCGTACGTCCTCTACATTTGTTGTCGATATAGCTAGAAAAACAATCAAGAATGAAGTATATATGTAAGTATATGTTGACACGAAACACATTAACGAAATTCGTAAACATAAACGCACTTTTAAGGAATGCAGCTAAATCATATAGCGTTGTATCGTCATCATTACCAGTCCATTGCGGTAGTCTTAAAGTGTTTTCAGGATGGAATTTTGTACTCTTTGCATTCCAGTCAATTACTATAACCTATGTTAAGTAAAATACATTAGAAGATTTGTAATCTATGAAAAAAATAAGAATTAATACTTACTTTACTAAGATCACGGTTAAGAGCATTTAAATCCTTAACATGATGACCATCTACAAAACGTGTTGTGTCTCTTACTAGTCTGTACATGATATATCCATTAGGATCCAAGATATCCAAGATAGGGAAAACAGTCTAAAGATGGTATAAAATATATTATTTATTAAAATAATAAATATAGCTATTTTTTAATAATTTAGGTGGACACTATTTTTTACCATTCCTTGTTCTGCAGTGTATACTACAATTTCAAATTGTGGTGGATGTGTTACTTACTGTCCAATCAGGATGTACCAATACATCTGTTAATTCTAGTACTAAAGTGTAAGGAGGTTGAATATAAGGATATTGAACTGGATCTGGAAGCAATTTATGTCTGCTAGGTTCTTGAAACAGCTAAAAAGTCATTAAATGGAATTAAAAATAGACCAAATAAAAATTTGCAGTAATAAAAGAGAAAGATGTATATTAAGAATTTTATACCTTGGTACAATAGTTAAATTCTCTTTTGAGTATTTTGTATGTTCTTTCATAAAATGGTAAATTTGCGTATTCATCTTCAATAACATTTCCATCTTCGTCATATTTAGTTTTTGTTAAATCATATATTAAATAGGACAATCCAACAGTAGTAAATACTCCCAAAAATGCAAAACTATATTTGAGTACTCTCTGTGATTGCTCACGTTTTTCTTTTTCTTCCGCTTCCTCCTTTGCTTCTTCATCTAACTTTTTATTATCTAATCCATCTTGTGTTAGAGATTGTACAGCTCCTCCCGTTGATTGAATATTCGTTAAACTGCCAGTTATTTTTGGTCTATGTGCTGCAAAAGCACAGAATTGAAAGTTAATTATCTTTGTTGATATAAAATTTACCGACTTAACATGGTGTTATCTAGTAATTTATTAACACCGCGAATAACTAATAACGATTTCTTTCATTGTTATACATTACTTAAAGAATTTTCCAATAAACAACATGCGAGTAGCGCGTGTTTCGGCTTTGCAAGGTTATATTTCTTGCATTTACTTACTGTCTGTGTTGTAATAATGTTTTTGCGTAGTTTGAACAACTGATATCCGAGCGATGGGTAGGCGAAGTGCAGAGTATATTGTTGCCGTATTTGCATTGTATATTTTGTATAAATGTCGTAGACTTTTTGTCGCAAATGCCATTACTTTAAACAGATCATGAGCTTTCTGGCAGATGTACGCAAAGAGCTCGTGTTCGTATTTTCTAGCATGTTAGGTTCAGTCGATGTTTTAGAGATCTAGTTTTCCAACACGTCTAAAGGCAGTTTACAAAATTCCATTAGCCCGTGTTCACACATCAATCGGAGTTATTCGACATTTCGCTTGCTTTCAAATGCATTGCTACTAGGTATGGAAGTTGTTTAATCTTATCTTTAATATAAATCAGCAGAATTAACGATTTAACGTAGGACAATTATTATTTACAGTGTATCTACTTTGTGCCAATGAAAGTAAACAGCGAACGATTATTATTCAATGGTTTAACATGGTTAAGAAATCACGGAGACAAAACTTGATTGTCAATGTTCTAAACGAGGTATGTGCTAAATGATTACAAATATACGTTCGTATGAACTGAATATTTTACTCGTACAAAGAAAACTTTGCGAAAGTAAGGACAGAGCATTAGTTTCTAAAAAAAAATACGTAGAACCATATATGTAGAAAGAAGTGTTTGAAATGTATCTCACATCAGTCACGTGATTATGGCGACGTACTAAAGCTACAATTCAAACAAGTATCAAATTACATAAATAAGAAAAGAAGAACTCGTAAAAGAGACTGCGTAGAAAAAACTTTACGTATCAAAGACGTACTTTTATTTGAAAACTTTTTTTTCTCTCGTTTCTTTTCTTCCCTCTATCTATTTTACGTTTACAAAATTAATCTTCGTGTCTCTCTTCTCAATTTCTCTGCCATATTGTACGAAAGATTTTCTCGCATAACAACGTACGATAAGAAATGTACAACTGAAACAATCTCATCCCTTAAAATTCGTCAAGTAGAACGATCAACGCGTAGCTGTTTACATCTCGTTCAATTATTCGAAAGCGTAATCCTATCTCGGATTAAGTAATAATTGTTTAATTGGCCGAAACAAAGCCGTCTCAATGCGGGCGTGCGCCAACCTGTACAGCCTTTTCCGGTTTAATCAACTTCAGGAAGTTTGCTAGTGGGCGGTAGTTGTCGGGTCAGTATATGCATTCTATACTAGCCAGGGGAATTTTGTGGACATCGTGCGGTCAACCACTCTAATATTAATAGCTCGGGTATGAAATTTGCTTAATCATGACTAACGAGATGACCCAATGGAACGACAATAATTTGCCGGTGTTCACTTGCTGCGTCAATCTCGAATAACGATCGCTAACGAAATTCGTACCATTGTTAAATGACGTCGAATCGAAACCCCCGGCATATTACGTATTATCGATTGAAAATTATTAATCGTCGCGTTTTCTCCTGTGACTGTATTTCTAAACGGTGGCCAAACCAGTCGAATTACCGGGTCTCTTTTAAACGTGTCCTCTCTCTCTCTCTCTCTCTCTCTCTGTCTTGCGTGAAATGTGTAAAACAAAGCAAAAAAAAAAAGGGTCGCCACGGAAGCGACGCGAATTTATCGTCGAATTTTTCCAGGATTTCCCAGGGCAACGCTTAAATTTTTGTCCCCCGCAATACATAAACCGTACACGCGGGATGAACCCGTCTCCTCTTCTGCCTGGTGTCAGCTGTGCTGTTAGGACCGTAATGAGAAGTGCCATAACGTTAACGGCCGAACGCATACATTCGAGCAATTACGTCGCTCCAACTAATTTCTGTCCCTGGGCAAACTTGAGGAATTCCACACAGCTACGGGGAGAGGTGGGCGCTCTAGAGAGAGGGTTGGAAACACGGGGATGGTACCGAGGAGGAGGCGGAGGTTACTGCTGACCATTTCGTCGGATCTCCCCGCGTTTTCGCCCGTTTCACAGACGGTACACACGCGTGAGGAGGAAGCGTACAAACACAAAAACCAGGCGCCCTTTAGCCAAGCCATGGCTCTACGAATGCAGCCGAGAGGGTTGTTTGTCAAGAGAATTTTCAGCGGTGAACACGCTGGCCAACGAGTATTACGGGTTGGATTAATTCCTAACAAAAATATGTGAAATATTTTCCACCAAGCAGACGAACGAGCCGTGCACTCGCACAAACACCACCCTTCACGATTCCGGGCACAAAAAGGCCGCGTGTACTGTACGTGGATCGTTTGTTGGACGTTGCCCTGCGCGTTTTGTGTTTTGCTTTCGGATTGCGCGACAAATTGCCTTCGGGCGAAAGACCTATCCCTCTGCTCCTCTACGATATTCCGCACTTTCTGCCTTCTTTATCGTCCGAATGTTTTACTCGGACGCTTCAAGTCTTTCTCCCTGTTTCTTCTCTTCTTTTATACTTAACATCCGAGGGATACAGATCGTACAAATTGTTCAAATTGGATCAACGACCAACGGTATAACGTAAAAGTATAGAATTCTGTTGGAGTGAAAGTGCAATCGGTAGATAGAAACTGGTGTGAGGAGCTAATAGGGACAGAGGAACAGAGAGATACCATTCAAAATCGTTCTGTTTCATCTATAACGTGCGTCTATGCATAATGCAACAGAGCCAAATAACTAATTAGAGAGTATACCGTACGGATGATCGGATGTTTGGTTAAACTAGCGGCCGGGAGATCCGTGTTTCTATGTTATCCGTGTCGCACGCGAGATTCATCCCCGCGGAATATTCTGTTCCTTTTCCGCGTAACAAATGCTCAGTCATTCGTGTATACACACTCGTGTGCACGACAGTTAGAGAGGATCGGCGAGGCGACGCTTCTTAACGTCTGGATCTATAAATGTCCCTTCCTCGTAGCAGCATGTAAATGGAAGAAAGCGTCATTCCAGGCGATACTCGTGTTTCGTGCACTCTCTCTCTGGACCCCGGTGTGCTATTTGCACGCGCATGTACATCGTCTCGCGTCCAAAGATTTCCGAACGAAATTCCTTCTCGGAAATAGCCGAGTCATTCAAGCTCCTGGCGACGTTCTATTCACCAGCCACCCATTTCACTCCTCCTTTTTCCCTACGATTCATTCCTCCGCGAGTAGTGAATCGACGAACGATTTACCTTTTCAAGTGGTCGATCTCTCTCCCCTCTCGTTCGATCCGAAAACGACCATCACGATCGCAGATTTACACTGTAAATTGACAAGTGAATTCTCCCGACGTCTAGTCTTCCTTCTCGTTGCTAATCTCTCGGAGAGGTGCCGATTGGTTGTTGGTGTTTCGCCTTCGTCACGCATTCCCACGATCATCTTGTGTTTTTCGGGCTAAATGCAGACAAATTGCAATCGTTGATTAACATATCTGGCGGAGAGTTGGGAATCTCGCTTCAAGTAGTTTGCAAAGTGTCTCTAGTCGGTACTGGACACAGGGGGTAGAAACGACCTGGAGACTTTCAGAATTTCGGCTATACAACCTACTCCGAGAATAAAGGGTGAAAGTGGGAATTTCAAAGTTTATTCGCACAGCGATGTTGGAGCGTTTCAGCGCACTTTCAGCTTAATTAATAAAAAAAATTTTAAACGACGCGGTCGAAACGAACAATTTCGCGTCCATGGTTGGACATCTATTATTTCTCGCGCGTGTTATCGGTGAAAGAGTTAAAAAGCTCGGGTCGAACGCGGTTCATTTTGTACATGAATCGCAGCGCAGCGTACGTAACTTTGAAACGGTTCGATCGAAAAATTTGAGGACGATACGCGTTAACGTCTGAGTTACGGACCGTGTGCATCGGAGAACCGCGAACCTGAAGGGTGAGATATAGCAGTAGGAGGAGGCAGGGGTGGAGGAAGAGGGTCGAGCGAGCGAGGCAGCCGCGAAAGGGAGCATTTCGCGTAATCGAAGTATCGCGTGCCGCGTTACCTGCGGAACGATAATTCCATTACGCGAGAGAACAAACGTAGCTACATACGTACCGCGAAGGCAGGACATTTTTATCGGGTACGATCTGATATTTCGTCGATCAGCGTCGAGCGTTGTTGTAAAAGCGCGTGCGTGAGATACGCGAGTAATTCTCCTCGCGTGGGAAAGCAACGTTTCGAGCTGGCATAAATATTACGGGAGAGACGTTAGACGAACACGCGTTCTCTCCTTTCTGCAAACCAGGGTGGTAGAGCGTTTCCACCCCATCTGGCTAATATAACCTCTCCCCCACTCAATCGTCGTCGTCGTCGTCGTGCACCGAGTGTGTTTGTAAACTATTAATTCGCCTGTCGTGAAAAACTCTCTCACTCTCTATTCTCCAGTCGTTTCTCGCTTTTTATCTCTCGAGTACACGTGGAATTTGTGGATCGTTATTACGATTCGTCGGGTTTTTGACGCGGAAAGCCAGCCGGGCCTGAACTTTCTTAATCTGAAGTAAACCAAAGCGAGGATAAAACGCCCCCTCCGGCAATTCGGAGACTTTAATAATCTAACTTTTCGCGCTACTTTGCGTCCCACTTTTAACCGAAAAATTGCTTTCCTCCCTGTCGCTCTCGTAAACCCGAAGGAGGGGAATACAAGTATTTACGCGTCCCCGAGTGTGTCATTCTTTCGACGTTCTCCGAAGAGATACTCTTCGTCAGCCCGTTCTTCGCGGAGGCTAGACTGTTTCGTCGATCCGTTCATCAACGGTTTCCGTTTCGTTGAAAAGACGCGTTAAACGATCAAACTCGACCGATTCACGAGGCTTCTCTTTTATATACCGGCGGATAAAGGTGGGCCAGAGAGATTTCATATAGATCGTCTGAATTACAAAGCTGGCGGAAGTCGGTGGCTGGTAATAAAAATCGGCTCTGCGTATCTGTCCGTGCACGCACCCTCTATATCTCCGGCCAACCCTTCGATCTCGCCTCCTCTCGCCGCCTACTCTCTGGCATTCATCGAACGACGATCGATTACATTGCTCCCGCGGACAATGCCATTCGGGACAGTGCGAATTTCATTCTTTCGTTTCGTACAGCGCGCAGAACCCGCCCGACAAAAGCTCGCCAACAGAGCACGATGCTTTCACGTGCCTCTTTCATCCTTTCTCTGTCACACAGGCACCCCGCTGTATCCATAGATCTCTGTTACACCATGGCACAGGCTGGCGTAAGTCTTGCGTGAATTCGCACTCGCGAGAACCGACGTATCTGGGGAACTTATTCAAACG